GAAAGAGCGAAATATTGATCTGGGTCATAGTCCTAATTGTCTTTACATTTGAACGGTTCGAGATTGAAATGTCATGTTGTATCTCTCTATAAATCTGAAGTTTAAAGTTCTGCCGTGCAAAGGAATGAAAGTAGCACTTTGTGGAAGATTTGGCTGGCAAGAAATGGGGAGTCTTTCAACAATGTTATGCCTTTTTTTCCCATACTTTTCCCTCTCTATCTTAATTTAACTTGTTTCTCATCATCAAAGAAAACAAAAGTTTGATAGGAACCAAAAGTTGAAAGGGAGGCTAACAAAAAATGCTATCGTAAATGCTAATCAACAGAGCAGAGTGACAAAGGATAACTAAGTGTTTGAAAGATTTAGCCCACTAGCTAACACACCAGGGTACTACCAGGCTTCTTTCTGGTATGTCAAAAGAAGTGAATCAGTTCGATTTGCCTTTTGAGTGGTCTGACTTGAGAATTTGCTGGGTTTTGCTATCTTGTGGGGCATTTAGCCTGAAAGAATAATAGGATATTTGGAGAGATGAAGAGACCGTGTTACAATGTTTGGGTGGTGATGAAGTTTAATGCCTCCTTGTGGGTGTCAATTACTAGGTCTTTTGTAATTATGATCTTAGTATAATTTTGTTGGATTAGAGTATCTTTCTATAGGTCGTTATGCCTCCTTGTGGGTGTCAACTTTTAATATTTCAATATTTTAAAGGTTCAATAGGAAACTAGTGGCTATCCAACTCTCTATTCAAAAGCAATTGAGCCAGCCCCAAGATGGAAACATCAAGAGTTTTCCATATTATTAAGCTCACTTGAAGATTGGAATACATGAGGTAGGCGACACTTAGAGACCACATGCCTTAACCAACGGCGCCACCCCTTGATGGCTAGTAACTAACAATTCAATTTGAACGGGAACAAATCATTCTAGAATGAAAAATTGATATATGTCCAAGTTTGCACAAGTCCTATCAATCCATGGTACAGACTTAATACCACATCAAACATGCAAAAACTTTGATCTCTTGTCTAACTCAGTCTGGTTGACTGGATAAATTTATCAAAGCCCAAATATCAGAATCTGTTCCCTCAAAAATCAGCAGCACTAACCATTAGAAAGGGGTCCCCTAGGAGATAACTAGAAAATAGTTGGGCATATTCCCTAGTGGTTGGTGCTCTAACACCAATTTGATAGGAAACAAAATAGGAAATGGAAATGAATGAAAATATGATATTGATAAGGCTAATGAATGGATTAGAACTACAATGGGTTGCCAAGCATTAGAGAGGGTTAGTTCTCTCCTCAGATAATACCCAATTATACACCTATCTCAAGCCACACTTTATTTATGACTACTTCTCTAATAAAATCCCTAGCTAATGACTATAATTTTCTAATAATGTAATAACATTTGTCCTACATAACTAACACGATGATACAAACTCGAAGTAGTACGTTTGTTCACCAAAAAGACTTGTGCATCTTCCTAAAGTGCATTGAAGCATAATGGCCATCTAAGCCCAAAGTGCAAGGTCATAATTTTAAAAGTTCCACCTAGGAATGCGCTCAGGCACTCAGCTCTCTTGGTGGGAGGTGTCCTCACTGATAAGCTTCGCCAATGAACAAATGGTACTTGGTGCAAAGTTATTCATAGACGATATGTAAGGAAGCTATAAGAATGATGTCCCCATTGTTCAAAATATGCTTAGGGTTTCATTTCTTGATATAAAAGTGGATAACCTCCTGAAATTTAAAGGTGGTCAGGATTCTTTGATTTAGATTTTTAGAAGATCCTTGGTCTCATCATCCATACTTCCTACCTATTTACTGTTTCCTAAACTTCAACCCCTTGCTAATTCCAATGGACATGAGTCACTCTAAGAACAATTTCAGAGGAGGCCGGCATTTTGAATTTAGAAGGAAATTAAAATAGTTGGGAGATTGAGTACTTTGGTCCCTCCAAGAACAACAATTCTTCTTTACCTGTCCCAATGACCATAGGCCAACCAATAGTCGTTACTTCATAACCCACATACCTTAACAACTTTTAAAAATTACAAACATAAACAATGAAATTACAATAATTATGGATGATTAATCAGTTAAACATGGTGAAAGAGCTAACAACTTGGCGGCTGAGATGGGTAACAGGGCAAATCCTAACAACAGTTGGAATGAAATCATTCTAGAATGCTTTAGCAGATAATATTTGCTTCAAATGCCAATTGATTAGTGGACTTCATGGTAGGATAGATTTAGTGAAATAACACTTTTTTAATTTGAAAAACAAGCTTTTGTAAGATGGAAACTACAGAGCAAAAGCTATACAAACAAGAAAACTCCGATAAACGAGCCAAAAAGTAAAAAATACATAATAACACCAACAATAAACTTCCATTGTTAAGAATTTTAGAATGTGCCAAATTCCACACATCCTCTCTGTCAACACCCAAACAGAGGCATTTGAATAACTTCCTTCCAATCTTGGTAAAACCCGAAAATTTATATGAAACAAAAGTTCATTTAAAGATTCGTATGGCTTCCAAATCCTACTGAAATTGAGACAACAATTTTGGGATGCCACTCCCCCGTAATCAGAAATATAGTCTATAACGATGGTCCTAAAACTTCCATATTCTTAACATCTCAACTCCAAACTACACAAGAGCTTATTCTTCATATTCGAAAATAATTTAATCCTCATAAGCACCCCCACGAAAAAAAAATCACATTATCATTCAATATTCTATAAAATGTAACCATAAAAACCCATTTCGAAAAGAACATTAGATTAGTACCAAGATGTTTCAGTAGATGACTTCCACACAGCAAGTCGCGTCCGCGCGACATCTTTGCCCGTTGGTAGGCGCTTGAGCTCCACGGGCGTACCAACTATCCCGATGAGACTGACCGAGTTACTGAGCTCCTTCTTCCATGGGATTTCGGAAGGTTTGGGGTAGGAAACAGAGTAAGTGCTGTAGTTTTCCATAGCCAAGCATTTTGGGAAACGAGTAGCGAAACGGCTGTGTTTAGCAGCGTTCAGATGCGAGAGAAAAGGGGAGAAGGAAGCGATTCGTGACTTGTTTCTAGAGAAGGAGAAGATGCAGCTCTTTGATAAAAATGACGAAGAAAGAGTTAGGGTTTTCTGTACCGCCATTATCATCGCTCTCGATTTCCCTCTTATCTTCGACTGTGTTCCTTTGTGTGCGCGCCAGACTCTTGGCCGAGGGTTTCATTAAAGGGTTTTAGATTTTTAAATAATAATAATAATAATAATAAGTTTTTTTAAAAATGAAAAATAAAATAAAAATAATTTTTTGAATCAATTTTTATCGTAAAATTTCTATAAAATTTTCATTTAACAATATTAAACCTTAAAACTTAAATATACGTTACAATTCGTATTTAATTCAATATATATATACATATAACTTAAAATCAATTGTACCGACCCCGGTCCACCGCCTAGCAAGTTGTCCTCTTTCGACTTTCTCTCAAAGCTTTAAAACGCGTCTGCTAGGAGAAGACTTCCACGCCTTTACAAAGAGTGATTCCCTCAAGGCTTTAAAAGCCAAAAGGTTTCCAACCAACGTGAGACATCACAATCCACCCCCTTTGGGGCCCAGCGTCCTTACTGGCACACCGTCTCGTGTCTACCCCCCTTTGGGGAAGAGCGAGAAGGCTGACACATCGTCCAGTGTCTGACTCTGATACCATTTGTAATGATCTAGGTCCGTTGCTAAGCAGATATTGTTCTTTTTAGGCTTTCCCTTTCGGGCTTCCCCTCGAGGCTTTAAAACTTGTTTGCTAGAGGAAGATTTCCACACCCTTATAAATGATGATTTGTTCTCCTTCCCAACCAACGTGGGACATCACATTACTAATAATAATAAACAATTTTGATACAAATTTAATCCAATCAACTTAATTCAACTATTATATATACATAACAAGTCACGTCCAATTTGGCTTGTGGTCAAAATCAGTGGTGGACTCTCCTGCGCGAGCGCACTTGCCAAAAAGCCTCCTTAGTTTTACACGAAGCCAAGAGCTTTGAATAGCAAAAATCTACCGCGATCACAATGACAACAACGAGGTAATAGCCACAGAGTCTAAGAATCTGTGAGGTACCAATCTTAGGTTCTTCCACCTCTCTTTCTCATTAAGCCGCATTTCAAGATCTTCGGGCACATCAAGACAACTGATTGTTCAAAGGGGGCAAAAGGATGGTGTAGCAACCCAAGTTCACCGACAACGGATATTGTTCGTTTTGACCTGTTGTTAAGTATCGTCTCAGCCTCACAATTTTAAGACGTGTCTACTAAAAATAAATTTTCACATTTTTTCACAAGCAATGCTTCGTTCCCCTCTTCAAAATGGCTACCCGTGAGCTTTTGACAGCCCACATGCATTCCTACCAAAATGCCAATCAAATCAAATCGAGTGGGACCCGCTCATCACATGAACCTGTTTTCAAATGCCTTAACTCGATCCGACGGTCCAAGATTGGGCTCTTCAAAACCTAATCTTGGCCGTTTGTTTTTGGTCAAATGTCTTTTAATACGATTGGCTGTAATTGTCTAAGTGTTGTCTCCTCCACGTCAGACCACATCCTCCAGCGTGTCCTTCTTTTGGGAAACATTCACATCTGTCGCTTGACACACACGGGATGCTCTACACCACGTGCCACCGCCACATAATTAGCCTAGCGCCCACGTGTCATCATATTTGTATTTCTTTGTTATTTACTTAATTAATGTTCAATATTTTTTCCTAATATATATTATATATTTTCATAATTCATAAAAAAAATCTTAATAAAGGGTAATTTTAAAAAATATATTTGGAAAATACATAGCCACACAATTAATTTTCATAGAAAATAAAATATCATAAATGCAAAGAGAAGACACGTGTCAAATAATTAATGGTAGAGTTCATGTAGACCATAATTTGATTCTTCCTATTATATATATTGCACGTTATCATCAATTCTTCACAGTTTTCATTTCTCTCATAATCCCTCCAACAATTTAACTTCCAAAGCCAATGGCCAAAATGGCAGTTTCTAACGACCGAGATCTCCAAGCCACCGAGCTCCGTCTCGGCCTCCCCGGCTCCAACGAACCTGATCGCTGCAGCGGGTTAAAGCCGAACAAGAGACCCTTTTCAGAGATTGATAAGGAAAGTAACAGCAGCGTTTCGGATGCCGGGAATTGCCTCAATCAAAGCTCCCAATCTCCTCCCTCCAAGTAAGCACAAAAAAACTTAACTCAAATTCGAGTTTTAGATCTAGTAACGACTTAAGGTATAAGAAAGACATAATTAGTTCTCGACTAATAATGTTACGTATTTATTTTAGGGCACAAGTTGTTGGATGGCCACCGGTTCGATCGTACCGGAGGAATTGTTTGGCCGGAAAGAAAAACGAGGTAGAAAGTTGTGGCGGAGTGTACGTGAAAGTGAGCATGGACGGAGCTCCATACTTGAGGAAGCTTGATCTAACCATTTACAAAAGCTATACCGAGCTCGTGAAGGCCTTGGAAAACATGTTCAAGTTCAATCTCCGTAAGGAAAATGTCTAACAAACAAAAAAAAAAGCTTAAAAACTTGAGCTTTTGAATTCATTAGCTTAATAAATAATCTCGTTCGATCTCTTAGGTAGTTACTCAGAGAAAGAAGGTTTCAATAGATCGGATTACGCAGCAACTTACGAAGACAAAGACGGCGACTGGATGCTTGTGGGCGATGTTCCATGGGAGTAAGTTCATTTATGAGATCTTATCATTTATTTTTGTTCTAAACAAAAAAGACATTTCTGATCTGAAATTTAAATTTTCAAAATGTGCAGAATGTTCATCTCGTCTTGCAAAAGGCTGAGGATCATGAAAGGATCAGAAGCAAGAGGGTTATCGGAGAACCGCTGTTGATGCAAGCTTTTTCTAACACTAGCTGATGGCTAACACGAGAAAGAAAGGATCCATACAAAAAAAAAAAAAAAAAA